ATACTAATGACGCAATTCACTGAAGCTGCGCATTCTCGTAGCTGTTGCCGCGTCTGCTGGGTGAGGGAATCTACGATGTGAGGCCTGGACCCTCTTGCTGCTTCCGGCACGTTCCGATTGTCGTGACGTCACAAAATTAAACAAACACGCGTTGCCACGCGTGCTCGGGGAAAATGCGTACTTTCCTCGGCGTGCTCGTTCCGTGGGACGAGGAAGCGGCGCCGAGCTTCCCCTGAGCCGCCTCGGCCGCCCGTGGGCGCACATATCGCCCGGCCACGGTCACGGCCAACGCCACGAGCTGCCGCCCGATATCTGTATCTCCTCTGCTGCATTTCTGCTTACGTAACACGATGCCGACGGGAACATGGTTTCTCTGATGTTGGGATGACAAAACTACGCGTATGACTCATAAGGCAAAAAAGAACGCTTCGTGGGAAGAAATTTAATCAATATGCGAATAGGTATACAAATATACCTAGAAATAAATATCTGATCTTTGAATTGAAATTATTCTACCACTTATATACCTATACTTACCATAGCTAACGTTACATGTTATTTACTACTACAAATTATTTTCCTCTGAATATAATACGAAAAGAACAAATGTTATTTTGTAAGAGACTACTTATAATAACCCTTCGATACATAACATCGTGTGTGCTACTGATGGGTTCGGAATTACCCCCAGGCCTGCATCAAACGAATTTGAGACGAAAAAATAAAAAAATTCCCAGATTATGATATAAGGAAAAAACAGCCGTATATGCATCCCAAAGAAAAAATTACGTTGCAACACATTTTAGCATTGAGTGTCACTCGGAAACGATGCGTTTTAGAGTCTTTAAACCTTGGTTTTTGTATCCTTAAAGAGACCTAAAGGGACACCATTTACTTGTTATACCAGAACTTGCTTACAAAGATCTTTTCGAGCGTTGTTTTGCATAATTGGACGGTACCTCCACTTCGTAGAACGAGTTGTGAGAAACGTTCGAAGTTCCAAAATGCATCTATTTCTACTTTTAAACAGTGATTTACAAACTGCTTAATGTTCGCTCGGGTACAGCTAACTATCTATAACACAACATCTTTTCTTCGTATGTAATAACGTTCCGCTTTTTTGACACTCGGAGTGACGAAAAGTTAGTTACGCCATCATAAAAGTGCATGGTGTGAACAACTTTAATTAAATCCCCAAAACATTTCAGTAAGAGAGCGTTTGTTTAAATGAAATCTGTTTATCCTTCTTATTCCGTGGCGCAACTGGGATATTTCGTATGGGGTTCTAGGTGCAGAGTCCGGTAGGTTTGATGTTTACATAAATATAAAGATTTTTTTTCAATTTATGCTGAATGTAATTTTATATTTATTTTTAGTTATTCACAACGTATTAAACTCAAATATTATAAACACTTCCTTTGCTAAACAAAATTAGTAAATTTGTCTATTTCTGTAAATATGTAGTCGGCTTCGAGGGGAGAGACTGACGCTTCATTATATTCCCTATGAGTGAGTCATTGCTCTAAATGAGTATATATTATTACGATACAATTACCCAATATTGTTCTTTTTTTAATCTCAAGCAGGCAGCAGATGAGAAACACAAATCAAACCTAACACTGCTGAGTCTAAGTAAGTGCTTTTGGCTGTGAGAGCGGAAGAGACACAGTTCTATAAAGGAAGGTTATACAATGAGAACAAAAAAGACGCTAAAGCAGTTTCATAAGTTTTTTATAATTAATGGGAATTATTTACAAATAAAAAATGTGAATGCATTCATTAGTGAATAATAAAGAATTCTTCATTTAAATCGATTGATTAATTCGGTGTTTTCGGGCGCGGCAACTCTAATGACATTTATTCCCTTAAGTGTAGTACATTTTTATTAAGGGAGGTGGCGGATGGTGAGGTCCAGCGGCTAGCAGGGTTTTCCCCAACCGGTATCTCCCACCAGTGGGGCACTTCCCGAGCCGGGACGAGCTATTAGCTCCCGACTGGTCTCCCAACATGTGAGGAAGTGTAGTGCATGGAAGTGTGTGTTTCGACCTAGCTATGAAGCTCGTATCGAAAATCCTGCTTTCGTCGGAACTAGAACCGTACAACCTCCCGGCCAGAGAGCAGTGGCTGCCCTGAGCCACCTAAAAAGCCAGTATTTAAATCGTCATCATTTTGAATGAAAAACATCAAATTCCCGAGTACTGAACTCGCCTTCTCCCAAAAACATTTACCATGCCTTCCGCCGACCCTGCTAAGCATTTAGTGGGTACAAGTTCGCTAATTCACGGTCACGGCCATTGCCATGCACTCGCGTCTATTATCTATATCTTCTCTATTGCATTCCCGCTTACGTAAGCCACTTACCAGCTCCCCATTGTAAAGGACAACAACTCCGCTAGCTGACGACCGACGCCCGTGGGACCGCTCAAACCAGCGGTCGATTCGCGAGTTGGATGGGTCGCACGGCGTAATCTGTCAATTGAAAAGAACATTTAAGACGCGCTCTTTGTGCCGGACGATCGGGCTTCTTAATAAAACACGGCCGCACTGCTTTTGTTTTGTTTTGCGTTGGAACGTCGATATCAAAGCGATGGCATCGTGGATACGAGCTACTTGAAAATGCCATCGCCAGGCCCTGCTTGCATGACAATGCGAATAGAAAAACACTTCGGTGGAACCTTTGTGGCGAGTGGTGGGTATTCGTAGATAGCTTTCTTATCGTAAAGCTTTGTCTGCCGAGAGGGCGTTGCGGTTACGTAAGTCGACTGCTACTAAGTGGACGTCGGACGTGTCGTTTGTTTTATTCCGGTAATCGTGTGTGTGTGTGTTTGCTCGATCATATCGCTGTATTAAACATTCCATTGGTAATGTTAACCGTTCTTTCCGTGCTAATAGAGCATACAACAATTTTTGGAGTACAACAGAAAATATATAGCCTCAAATTTATAACATCTGGTAGTAATATTTCAAAACAGTAATAACATTAACAGTAATACATTTATTTAAATACAATATTTAAATACTTGTTAATAAGAGAAGAAAATGAATGCATTATATTTAAAAAGTTTTATTTTTATTTCAGAATTGTGGAAATAGTTATTACATTAAATATTACCAAAAAATTGCAGCCAATGAATATGTAAGTATTAAACAAAATATATTTAATTATTATTACATTGTCAGATCAATATTGTAATATGAACTGAAATAGAAATGTAATGCAATACTATTCTGTAACCGCGGCACATTTGTGAGTTCGTTCCTTTTAGTAGAAGATACGGAACAGATATACAAAGTGGGGAGGGCTAAATAACTTGAAGGATTTTCCGCCTAATGAGTGAACCTGATGTTCCGAAAAGCAGCTCTATAATAGCCTCTTTCGGACAGGGCCACCATGCTCATTAAAGTACCATCAACCACTGCAACTCAAAGCTTGATTTATGGACAGACAAAATTGGCACTTGACGTTTATAGGCAGCACAAGCAACATAGTCTGTGCTGAATTGAAATGAGGATTTTATATATATAGAATTCGATTTCAAACGTGTCAAACTTCAATTATGAAGCAATATCATATTTTACCTCATATAGGTTGTACTGCTCTGTTGAGTAAGGAGGGGCACAGACTTCTTCCAGCTCAATGATTAATTTTCTCATGACTGGATTTTCAAAACAATTTAGAAAATACCTTGTTAAGAATCTTCACTCCGGGACTTAGTTAATTCTGTGAGGTAAATTTGTGCCAAGAAGCTGAAATCTTTTCTTTTCACATGATTTCGTTAAAAATGTCTTGGTTATAATGAGAGATTCAAATAAATTTTTCCCAACTCATTTTGTTTGGAAATTTCTTTCAAAAATGAATATTTCGCGCCACATCAATTCACTGAACGTTCCTCAATCTATCCCTGAACACTATAAACATTAGAAGAATTACTGATTATTTAATTACGAGAAAGAAAATTGTCAACATCTAGATTCTGTTATCTACAGATCTTCTAATATGTAAATCTTCCCAGCATTTGTGACAAATAAGTACTTGTCGCAATTCTTAGTGGAGGTGAAGTAATATGTAATAGACGACGTAAGAGGTTAGCAAAAACGTTAGCAAAACACTGTTGACTGATGTAAACCTTACCAATAAACACAATTTGTCACATTAGGCACTTCATAATGGAATATGCCAGCGCCTATGAATCATATATTTTAAAAATAAACTTCATCTTCGTAAATCATTACTAATACTTAAAACGAACTTTAAAATTGTGGAATAGTAAGTACGTAAACCACACAACAAAAGCACAGGTTTAACTTCCCGCAGTTCTACTGGGGTCGCACTTTCATTAAGGACTAGGACGTGTCTAAAGGAGAGGAGAAGGCAAAAGGTTTCCAACTCATAAATGTTTGAAAAACTCTCAAAAAAAGCCCTGGTAGATACATTCTTCCTGAGGATCCACTTTGAAAGCAACGTAGAGGTGTGAACGTTAGTAATTATTGAAAGGTGTAGAAACTCGCGAAGAAGGGTGGTTTGTAAACACTCGTATGGCTCACAACAGACACAATGAAGCGCCGGTCACGAGGGAAAGTTATTAAATCATTGAACATGTGAAATACATTCCAATAAAATAAAGTAAAAACAGAATTAAAATTAAATATGAAACAACATAGTAATAATAATGTAAAAATGTCACTAGTGGTAGCCGTTGTCTGCTTCGGTAATAGTCTTCAATCAGGCGAGTAACGACTTGAAGTAAAGACTACAAACATGTCGGGTGTATGTAATCGTCGCTAGAAAGACACCGTGAGTGGTACCACCTGATTTACAGATGGCGCGGCGTTAGTAAAGCGAAGTCCAAATTTGAATGTTTGTTTGTTTTGGGTGTGCAAGAACTTAGCAAACTGCACTGATAACACACGCGTAGTGAGGTGATAAGAGTGGCAAGTGATTGAAATGATTCAAAATGTTAGCAATATCGGAAACGTAGAAACGTTCGTATACAGATGCGTCAACCACAACAAAAATGCACTGATCTGAGACACACCTCGGAGGTGATGCAAGGGGTGTCGACAGACAAGCACTGGCTCGGAGCACCTACCGTCATGGAGTAGGCGGCGACTGCGGGCGGCAAGGCGACGGCGGGGCGTCGGCAGGGGGCGAAAGCGTCGGTCGTCAGCGTTAGGCCGTTCTGCCACAGAGCCAGCGAAAGGGTCGGTCGCCTGGACCAGGGGGGCACCACGCGTTCACTGCCCAATGCGTGGTCGTCGCCACCGACGGGGAGGGGGTTGGGTGGTCGTCGGCCGGGGTGGTTCGCGCGGTGGTCGCCTACGGGGGTTGTTCCCGTGGCGGTTGTCAGCCGGGGTGGTCTAACAGGTGGTCGCCGGCCGGAGTGGTCTAACAGGCGGTCGCCGGCGGGGGGCAGTCGTCGAGCAGGGTGGTTCGCGCAGCGGTCGTCGGCTGAGGTGGTTCGCGCGGCGGTCGTCGTGGTAGTGAACAACGCTCCACGCCCGCAGCGGCGGCGCACAGGCGAGCACCTCGGGCACAACACTGAGCGCGCGTGGGGCCTCTGCGGGCATTTCACCGGCGCGCCGTCTTCGCCGCGCATGCGCACAACGCAGCGCGCGCGCGCGCGAGCGCCAGGCAGTGACGTCATCGGAAGCCCCGCGCCGCGCGGCCGCTGCAGGTGGCCGCCGCCGCCGCTGATGCTGCAGCAGTGGTGATTCAGACGCGCGAACCCGCGCGAATGCGGCGTTTAAACGCCACTTGTAGGGAGGGTTTAAACGAGACGGTCTAGACTGCGAAAGGGAATACATTTTAATAATTACAGGTCATGTCACTAGAGCATAGGAAACTTTTGATAAATTACCTACTCGCGAAGCGACAGGCGAATTTGTCTTGAAATTCCAAATGCACGAATGATATTGGCCTAAACTATTCTACAAATGAATTTTTTTCAACAGACTATCGGAATCCAACAAATATTTATTATATTAATATTATTCGCACTTTCTCTGTCAAAGGTGTCTTAGGAGATGAACTGATACCACTGCAGTGCCTCTGACCGGGAAACCCTAGCTTTCGAATGCCCACTGTGGTAAAATTTTTGACACTAGCTAGCTAGACCGAGTTCATTTGCTGTCTGGAAGAGAATTCTAGCGGCCGCCTGCTCAGATAGGGATTTTCGTTGTTTCTTTGATTAACACCAGGGTAATGCCAGAGCCGTACCTTAACAAACGAGCTAAGAATTGCGCGCGATCGTTCCTTCTCCTTCTTTGTCCTATAGTCACCCCTTCTTTACATACACACTAACATGCACGACGCTACAACACACGTCGGGTAACCGATCGGAAGCTTAGAGCTTGTCTCCGCTCGAATTGTATCGAGCATGTGGAAGATACCTGGCTAGGAAAAATTCCCTAAGTTGTCGTAGGTCAGCGGCAGATTTGCGCATCCTGCGAGGGAAGATAATCTCCCCCCTCCCCGCTATAAAACATGCACTACACTTACGGCACTAAAATCAATTATTGGCAGTTTTGTCCTATTTCTGATATCGTTGCTTACGAAAGTCAGAAGAGAGATGTAATCAGAAAAACTGGTTGGAAAAAAAATAACTTATTTTATACACCGTGATTGGGGCATAAAGATGTATTGTTAATCGCTATTGTGGTTAATTTCAGAGTGCAATACTCACATAAACGATATCTTCGAAAAATTTAAATATATATATATATATATATATATATATATATATATATATATATATATATATATATATGTATATATATATATGTATATATATATATATTTTAATTAACGCCCGTCAACAGCCTCGGTCATTAGTCCCGTATGTGTTGTGCGTTTGACAACTCGGAAGATGGCAAGGTTTCTCCTCCACCAGAACACGAGATGTGGCATCGAGTTCCCTATCGAAGGATATCTCTCTCCGGGTAACTTTCCCAACGAGACATCGTCCCAAAATGTGTGGTAGTAATGTGTGGCCTCCCAAAATGTGTGGTAGAAGAGTGCATGTTCATATCGTGTGTGCGCGTGTGCGTGTGGTGGAGAGAGGGGGGAAAGAATGAGAGAAGAAATACCGTGTGCGGTTCGAGTCCCGTTGGTTAAGGTACTGCTCCGGCATTCGCCTGGTATTGATTGGAGACACCAAGGAAAGCTACAGATCAGAGAAACCGGTCGTTAGAATTCTTTCCTAGGCGCCGCCGCCGCCCAGACGCCGCCGCCGCCGAAAATTCGCCGTAGTTAGGACCTTTTAGTCCGGAACACAATAGAAGCAACACTTGTTGGTCAGAGCCATCGCACTCAGTGGCATTTGATTGTCTGTGATTTCAAAATAACAGGGCGTATCGTCATTAACTAAAAGAAAATACGGTTTCGTGGGAAAACTTTATTGTAGCAGATGTAGCAAATTTTGCACTCTTCTTCCACATAATCACCACTAGTATTGAAACATTTGCCATATCGTGGGATCAACATTTGTATCCCTCTGTCGTAGAAGTCTGCCGCCTGGGATAGATACTAGTGATCAAAAACTACCTGCAACTATCTGTCACTGTGGTGTAAGTAAATTTATCCAGACAAACAAATTTATTGAAGTGTACAAAAATATGGAACTACTCGAAGGCCAGTCTCGGACTCTGGGGTGGTTGATGAAGCATTTCCCATCGAAACTGCTGCAGATCAGTCATGAGTCGAGCCATGTGTGGTCAAGAGTTATCACTTATCATACAGGAATACACCTGCACTGGACATCTTGCGTCACTTGTGTGAATGGTCCTCCGCAAATTCTTCAGTAGTGCACATTCACGACCAACGATACTAACAAACACCGTCACCTATTCCTGGCGGTAGACTTCTATGACACACAATAGAAATGGTGATCCCATGGAATGACAAATTATTTAGTATTGGCGGTGATTGCATGAATAAATAGTGTAGTGTCTGCTACAATAAAAGATTTTTTGCATGAAAATGTGTTTTTGTTTTATTGACGACCTGGGGTAATTTATTTCCTGGATTTGCCTCGTTTAAAATAAAATTGCGAGTCTTAAAAAAGTAGAATTTGTGAGGCATAGTACGTACTTGCTGGGCCTTGGCACGGTCTCATTTGCATGTTTGAATGACGTAGAGAGTTCTACCGCCGAAAGAGACGTAGATGGTGATGTTGCCTGACAGCAATACGCTGGTGTATAATGAATACTAATAAAGAAGTCCTTCAATTTAATTCCGCTATCGTTTTCTAGCCTTACCGTTCTACCCGTTTCAACATGAAAATGCATACGTATCTATCTCCGATTTCCATTATTTGTATAATGGAAGTATATTTAAAATACAATAATAATAATAATAATAATAATAATAATAATAATAATAATAATGATTATAGTGATAATAATACACGCATACACACATACTTTCCACAATCAATCTGTTTTTGTCGCCGTGTTGTTAACAAGTTGCAACATGCAAGCCACGTGTTTTAGGTCGTGTGTTTCAACTTTCTGCTACAGGAGTGAAACGTCACAGACAAAACTATTGTTTCTTCATTTTCTGTTAAGTAATACTTCCTTGGCTGACATTTTACTTCAGAATCATTCATTATTAGCCACTAATGTTCATAGTAATATTGATATAATCTCTTTCCTCGGTAAAATAACAATATTGTAATGAGAATGGATTTTGTTCGTCTAGAGATTAAAAGCCGTTCAACCAACTTCCCCCCTGTTCAGTCTTATAGTTATGGGTCTTGTGTATGCTCTTCAAATATAATTATCTCTAAAGGCAAAGGTACACGTATGTCGTTGTTAAAAGAAAACTTCACGTGTCCAATAGCGTAATTGAGAATGTTTTAGGAAGAGTTGAAATATTTTGTGGCAGTTGTAAGGAAGGACATTGTTGCGCCATGCTTCAAAGATGAAAATAATATAATCATCCAATTTTTTCTGTCAGAAAGAATAATATATTGAGAATAAACTACAGTGTACATTTTTTGTAACGAGACTCGAGGATATTTTTTGTTGTTGTTTTGGAGCATTCATTAATTCATTACAAGGAAAGAATGTGCCATTACATTATGGGAGTGCAATTAAAGTCAGCACTTAGTTTTCATTCAAGAAAATCAGTATCTAATGTTATAACAAGAAACTTTTTTCACAGTGCTGCAATATGTCTCAAATGTAATTTTAATCTGCTCAAGCTATCTATAAAATTGTTCCTATCATTCTACCTAATAATTTACTATTCTAACTTCTACTGGTATTCCAATGGAATAGTTTCTAATTCGCTTCTCTTATTATCTTCATGGTGAATCAAATAATAAACATTTTACGTCCCGAACATGTAATAATTTTCTTTGCATGGTGCACTTGCACTCTACAGATGCGTGTCAGTGTTGATGAAACTCAATCAACACTCAATGTCTGCAAAGAGCTGGGCAGAAACACACAAAAAATCGACTCAACAGCCAACCCTACCCAACGCATAGCAACCCCAGCCTGCTTTACTCCTCCACCGCGCAGAACAGAGACGCAGCGATCGAGTAGTTCGTTCACAATACAGTTAATTAATTGCCGGGTTAGCCGTTATTAATTGAACGAACGGGGGCTGTGAGGCTTGCTTCTTGCACGCCACGCCCCCCCTCCCCCTCCCCTACTTCACCACCGCGTCGTCTTCTCGATTGTTCTTCTTTCGATTGTTCTCGCTCTCCTATTGAGCGTCTTTTTGCCTGGTTGCCCCGCAACCGTTTGTTGGCGACCGGAACGCTCCGTGAGGGATTTTCGCAAAGAGATCAAAGGCGAATTCACATGATTTGTAATCCGCGCAGAATCTCAATTCAAGATGGTTGGCGTTCTAAAGGCACGAGGAAGAAAATAAACCAAGTAAACAATCTCTTTCTTCGTGTTTCTTTCGAGAAAATGAATTTACAACACGGGAGCGGCGTATTGTTCTCAAGGGGAGAAGATTGGAACTTTCAGTCGTGTTCTAGACTAAACGCCAATGTTTTGAGCTCATTATCTTACTGCCAACTGTAATTTTTATTTCATTGTCGTGCTAATATTACGCTCTCTAGAATAAGTTATAGAACAGGATGAGAGTAGAATAAATAATGTTTGCTTAATAAACTTTGCTGAAGACACATTAGTGTACGTTCTTATAGCTTTCTTGAGAATGGACGAATTGAATAATGGATGACTGACGCAAGTACTATAAAAACTTTGTCAACTACGTATTTAGAACATAGACACACTGCTTCCAGGTTTACAACTTAAATTTTAACATCCCTTTGAAAACTCATAAAATATGTCAACTTTGATAAAAATTGATACAATAAGTCCCTATTACCTGGATTACAAGAAATGTATCTATTTTCATTTCCACTCTTCAAGCGATAGCTGTTTAAACCTTCTTGTAACGGAATCACTGTAATGTTTGTGGATCTTCGAAAGTGTTAAAGTATACAAAAAATTAGTCTGCAATAGTTTTACAAGGCTGACTTCTCTAGATAACCTTATCTACTGCAAATAGTTTGAGGGAGATGGAGAATAAGAATGTCAATCAGTAAAATTAAATCAAATGAAAGACTTAAGTCTACTCATTAAAAGAATGTTTAATAAATATTAAATAGGTATAGACATACGA